GAGCACTCGCATTTATGAATGTATATGTATGCATCTGTATAAGTGCTGGTATATATAGATATATATATGTATTTATATGAAGCCCCTCCATTCCAAGCTAGAGCCAAAGTATCTCCGGCTAGCTGCGAATGCGAATCCATTTCAATAATTTGCCGTCGAGGGGCCGCCGCCGCTTTTGAAGCAATGCTTAGAAAATGATTATAAATTTATTTTTCCCCCTCGTTTTTTGCATTGCATTTCCCATTATCGTGTTGCCTGCACGCTGTAGTTGTTGTCGTTGTTGTTGTTGTCGCTGGCTTTGTTTTTGTTCTGCTTCAATAATAATTTTGACCCACTTCTGCGCTCGACTTGACTTTTTATTGTACTGAAATTAAGTATTTTTGTTGTACTTATTTTGTTTTTTTTTTTTTTTTTTTTGAGGGCAACACAAACACTCGCTCCGTATAATATTTGTACATTTTCTTGGCGGCAAATATTTTTCAAGACTCGGCTAATTGCCGCTGCCAGCGTCGCCAGTTGGCTGAACTGCATTTGTTGTAGTAAATATTATACATATATATATATTTTATTATTATTATTGTTATTTTTATTTTCTGTAGTTGTTGTTTGTAATTTTAGTCGTGTGCATTTTGTTGTTGTTGTTGCTGCCGTGTTGACGTCACTGTTCGTTTTTCTTGTTATTTATGAATTTTTCACAAGAGCTTTTCACATGCCTTAAGTGGGATACTTAAAGCCTGTGATGCATTTTGTAACGCCTCAGTGGACAACACGTAAAGTGGAATCAATCGAGCCCGTTCAAATGCTAACAACGCAAGCTGAAAGCTGGCATTTAAATATTGGATGGAAAGCAAGAATAAATATCCATAAAAAACAAACGTGATAAAGTGTAGGAAAGCAGAACTTTTATTAATTTAATTTACTTGTTTTGTTAAGAAACATATGTAATTATATATATTATGTACATTAATGAATGCAATCAATTGCAGCGCATTTTCTCAACACCCTTTTTCGAGTCATGTAAATGATTTCAACACACTTAAGAGTACTCAAAGTGATATTCAATGTGCATTTGACAGCACAAAAAATAAAAGTATTTCTATTAAAATAATTACCAATAAACCTTTTGGCTGTGCGCCCAGTTTAAGTTGTTTGCCTTTTGTTTTTCAGTTCGATCAAAGAGCCGAATTCCAAAGTTCTTGTGGCCTGAGGCTATTGAAAAGTCACAGTCGAAGTGCACGCAAGTTTCGGTGCGTCATTGTTGTTGTTGTTGTTTTTGTTGCAACGGTAAACTCGTTTGTAAATTATTTTTATAAATTTTTTTTCTTCGCGCTCTGCAATTTTCTCATATTGTTTGTTTTTGCAATAAAGAACAACAATAATAACAACACGGGTTAAAAGCAAGGCAGCCGCCTGGCCATACGGTAGCTGATGCTGTTGCTGTTGTTGCCGTTGTTATTGTTGTTAATGCTGTTGGTGTTGTTGTTATTGTTAATCATGGCAATTACAGCAACAAACAACATGCCTGGCCAATTGGCGCTTACACGCTTTCATTAAGCAACAGCCCGCGAGCTGCTGCAGAAACAGCTGCGTTGCTCAAGCGGTGGCGGGGGGGCTGGGCGGCCAGTAGGGGTTGGGCTGGACTTTGCGGGGTCTCGGATCTGGAGACCGGCCGGTCTATGCAGTCTAGCGTTGAAAATTAGCACTGACGCAACGCGTTCGCCTCTTAAATTGACATTTACGCGATAATTACGCGCTTATTATATTTATTACCAGTTTTTTCCGCATTTAATTCTTTCTATTTTTTTCCAGTTTGATTTTATTTAATTTTTTTCCCTGCCGTTTTATTGTATTGTACTTTTTTTATTTTATTTAGTTTTTTTTTTTTTGTGCACTGCGTTCTTTGTCTGGTGCTTGGGGCACGTCATTCAGCTGAATTGCAGCGCTGTGCTCTGTGTAATATCTGCCGGAAGGGGACAGGGTTGGTGTGGGTAGGAGGTAGGTTGGAGGGGGGAAAGAAACCTTGAAACTAGAGAGCTGTCAGCTTTGTCGAGGAGTCTATTAAGCCCCAGATAGCAATAGACTCCATACGAAACATGTTTTTAATGTAACGACGTCATTTGGACGTTGACTAAAGTGCGATTAGCAAATTGCTGGGTGTATCCAAAGAATCGAAAGCCCAAAAGGCCAGAACAGAGAGCAGATCATACGTATTGTAGTTACACAGATTAAACAATGGCTGCATTTAAGCCGAAAATATATTCCAAAATTTAATAAAAATATTAGCTAAGAACAAAAGAAAAGCAAGTTTATCGATGGATTATAATGTGGGTAAGTAGGGAACAAATATAGCTGATGCCATAATGAACCACACGCACACGCACATACACATTTGTGAGCATGTATGTTTATTACAACGATTGGGCCCACGCTCGTGTGGCTGAGCCCCCCACAACTTTGACTGAATTGAAAGCAAATATTAATTATTAGCTGATTTGTTTACAATACCAATTATCAATAGAGGGGAAAATAAAAGAAAAATGCTAAACGAATTTGTTTACATATTCTGTTTACGTGAACTAACAGAGCAGACGCAACTTCAGCGATGTAAATTAATAAAAAAAAAATAACTTAAAAACAGCATTCACAATAATAAAAACACGCGTACGTAAGCGAGAAAAGCACATTTCAGATTAGCAGCACTCATGGAGAGGGGTGCTGGCAGATGATCGGGGTAGCAAAATATTACGTCGCATTACGTGTTGGAACACGCGTGGCAATCGTTTGATTAGTGTGTGTGTGTGTGTGTGTGCGGTATGTGCAAGGTGAGCGGGTTTCTTTTTGCTGTGTGTATGGAGGTGTTGTTATCATTACACGAGTACATTATAATGAGAGTGAGTGAGAGAGACCGATAGAGTGGGAGTGACAGAAGGTGGGGAGGAGGGCAGGGAATGGGAGGAGAGCTGCGCATATCAAAACACCGCATGGCATGAAGACGACGACAAAATGGCGACGACAGATAGAACCCATAACCCATACATAACTAGAGCGTGTGTGCGCGCGTATGTGTGTGTGCGGCTGTATTTGCCTATCTGTGCGCGAAATAAACACTTCCGCATTCGAGTTCGAATTCAATGAAACAATAACAACATCAGCAGCAGCAGCAGTAGCAGCAGCAGCAGCAGAGGCAGCAGCAGCAGCGGGAAGAACATCAACTGGACGGCATGTGCGTCGAGAGCTGTAAGATAAATGCGACCGGCAAAAAGTCAACGCTGGGCCTCTCGCTGCCCCCTTTGGACCACTCTCTTCACTCAACAAGCAAGCCCTCCCCCTTCGGAGAATTGGGTGGGTGCTGCGAGTCTCTCTCTCTCTCTCTCTCTCTCTGTCGCATTGTATGTAAGTAATTAAATTAAACTGGCGCAGCGCCTCGCGCTGAACTCAATTGAATTTTATTTGAATTTTATTACAGACATTGTCGGCTGCTGCTGCGACTGCTCTTGGCGCATTGCAGTTTATATTATTATTGTTGTTGTTGTTGTTGTTCGGTTTTTTGTTGCTGGTTTTAGTTTTAGTTTTTTGATTACGACGCAATTGAGTGGCCTCCCTGCACGAGGTTTCAAGCCACAGCCCAGTTACCGAGAGCATGACGTGCTGAATTCTCTTTGCTTTTTTTTTTGTTCGCTTTTGCCTTTTTATTTTGATTATTATTGTTATTACTTTTATTATCAATTGAGAACGTGGCCGGCATTTTGTTTTCCTTTTTGTTTTTTTTTTTTTTTTTGTTATTTTGTTTTCGCTATTTATTTATTGTTTTATTTATTTTTTGCCGCCCGGCACACTTGTCGCTGCGCGTTTGTTGTTTTTGCACACTTGAGTAATAGTTTGCCGTGCGGCGGCGCGCGAGGCTTATCAATTGAAATTGAAATGAAATACGCCACAACAATCAGACAGCTATTAATTTCAATACGAAATTCGCATGCCCTACGGGAAATTTTCTACATAGTTGTTGCAGTTTTTTTTTTTTTGAAACGAAGCCAAGCATATAAGCAGAATGTGGCTGATTTGATGTTATATTTTTGTATAACAAATTTATTTTTTTTTAATTTTTAAATTTAAGTAAAAATCAAAAGATTTGTATAATGCCCATAAAAACACCAGTTTATGCGGGTTATTTTGAAGAGTATCTAACAAATCGAAACAATGTGACTATAACACGCAAAAGCAGTCCAGATATCGCGCGACTATTTGACGTCGTAATCAAATGTTATTGTCGTCTCTTAGACTTCGGCGTCGTCGTCGTCGTCGTCGTCGTCGCGTCTGAGCGGTCAGTAATTGAAAATTTGAATTATTTTGCAATCAGTTGCCGTCGTTGTCCCGGCGAAACATTTCGCAAAGCAAATGGACGTAGTCACCGCCGCTGTCTCGTCACCGAACGTTGGCGCGAGGGGACAAAATTGGGCGATGGCCGCTTTATATAAGTGTAATTGCAGCCACGGACGGCGTCTATGCTAAATAGCAATAGCCGGGCGGTGTCTAGCCGGTTGTGCTTAGATAAGACCCACAAAACAACCAACGAATCGAGTATGGGCCGACACACATTATTAGCAGGAATATCACAGAACAGACTGTATCTGTCCGTGACTTGGCGGTTTGTTCCGCTAATTTGTCGCCGCTTATGAATTATTGATATAGCCTAGACTCCATCGACGCCAGGGTTGCATATTTATGCAAAGTGCGCGATCGCCAATTCGAAAAACCAAAACAAACGAGAAATATAAACAGCTCGACGAAAGAACACCCTATAAACTGTCTAATCGATCTATGTAACATACATAATTATTTTATAATTGGCAATAAATTAATTTATGTGATTTTCGTTTATTATATATGTATATGCATTTATTATTATCTGCCTCACTGTCACTTGATAAGGAAAATCTATAGTTATTTGTTGGTGCGAGGGTATGTTTAACGGGCATTCAAATCTAATCTGGTTTACTCACTTGTTCGGCGGCGTCAGTGGCGTCAATGGCACCTCAATACTGTGTGTGGTACGGCGGCGGTCGCCTCCCATGTCGGCCAGGCGAGCAAAGTCCGTGTCGCGATCCTGATCGGCCAGACGAGCCGAGCGCCGTGACTCCAGCAGGCGCACTTCCTCCAAACGCTTCTTCAGCTCGATGGGTTCCTGGTAATTGGTAATTGTAAATGAAAGAAAATGCAGTTAGTAAATAGTTTTAATTGTGCTAGTAAATTGTACAAATATCAATCAGAATTGCTTATCGCTCTTCTAAGTAATTTTCTATCGCATCGGCTGCTGGGTTTTTTTTTTTTTTTTTTTTTGCCTTTTTTTTGTGTCTCGCAACAGATACTCGACTGGGTACAAAGTGAAGCCGCATTTGTGAATCATTTGTTTTTAATCGTTGGCGAGCATCGTACAATTTAAATTGTTTTGCCTTTAGTTTATAATTATTTGCTGTCATCAATTATATATGCGATACAAAAAAAAGTTAATTTTTTATGGGCCCATTTAATGCAATATCGATGGCATTTTCCCAGAAAACTTCAGTCACGCTAAAGCCAAACACAAAATGCAACTGTCAAAAGGTTATTTATTGTCATCATAGAACACAAATTTTCCGAGAAGCCGAAAACACATGTTCAGCTAATCAATCTAATAATTTAACTAGACATAAGCAGGGAAAATAACAAGCAAATAGCTAGTTAAATTCCAAATTGCCAATAGAGTGTATTGAGGCAAAAGTATCTCAGGCTAAAGTATCTGGCGGCGGACATACATATAGATATTCATTAAAATAGTAGGCTCGTTCCCAGGCTGGCGTAAAAGAACGCCCTTGAAAATTAGACAATGGGTGCGCGGGGAGTGGGGCCCAATGGGGTCAGTCGGTTATGCGGCACGCCCCAAAAGCACATTCGCGTGCTCTACGATAGAGCAAATAGTATACTTATTATTATATCTATTCTTTTATTTATCTTTTTTTTTGCACTGTCGCCTTTCACATTTTCGCATCTATTATAAGCCGTGCACACACACACACCTTCCACACACGGCTGCATAGATGGGGTGCATCTGTAGTATTTGTATCTTTATGTAATCACCTTTTTGATTTGCAGCGGCAGCCTTCGAAATGTGAATTTTTACACAATTCTCTTGGCTGGCAGCGGCTATTTTTCAGAAAACACTTTTAACAATTGATTATGACAAACATCTGTATTTAGTTATTTCAAGTATTTGAATTTGTATTTAATTTAATTTTATTTAATTTTTGCTATTTATTTATAAACTTTTGCCTTTGGCTGCTGCTGTTGCTGTTGCAATTGCAGTCGCTAGCGGCACGGCCAATGCCTGGCCTATAAATATGAGATATTTAGATATATGCAATATTGCAGCAGATACATATATGCAAATGCATATGTAGCTGATAGATTAGATTGGATATTTAAGTGTATTTAATTTGTCACTTATTAATTGTAATACGCCCGCAACAAGTTTTTTAATGCCAAATTGGAGCGAACGCTCTTGGTTGATTTTTATTTTTTTTTCTGGTCTGCTGTTGTTTTTGTGTTAATTGGGCACAAAACGCCGGCCGGCGACGTCAGCAGCGGTAGCCGGGTAAATGCGTCAGCGGGGCACGTATCTTACAGATACAACGCAAACACCTACTAACGCACACACACACACACACACACACACCCCCTCGGCGAGGAAGATACACACGCACACGCGCTGCGGCGGCAGTCAAGAATTCGTTGACGTCGTCGTGAGTTTTATTTTTAATTATTTAAATATTTGGTTGTTTTTGTTTTTTGCTTTTTATTATTTTTTTATTTGCGCCAATGTCTCGCCTGCTGCTGCTGAATTTGGGCTACTAGGCCTCGTTCTTAATTTTGTATATTTGTATTCTGTTGGCACTCTTTCTCTTAGGCTCGCGCGCTTTAGCTTTTTCACTTAACTTGGCCAAAACACACAAAACTTCACTTGCACTTTTTCTTTTTATTCGGTTGGCTTCAAGTTTCACACGCTTTCGAAAATTTTGCTGGCCTGCTGTTGGGCTTGGACTTCAGTTGTTGTTGTTATGGAGGTTTGGACTCTTGACTTTGTCTTTGCTTTACTTGTTTTTTTCTTTTTAAATATATTTTAATATTTGTTCGCTTTTGCTGTTATTGGTTGTCTGCTGCTCTTGGACTGGTGCGAAACGTTCGCGCGCGCATTCAAGAATGATTCTGTGCGGCGCTCGCTGGCCGTTGCCGGGTTCGCTGCCGGATTCGCTGCCGCTTCGGCTCGGCGCTCGACTCTCGGCGGCGCTCGTTGAGTTCGGCTTGCACTCGGCGGCGGCTCTCTTGGTACGTTTGCGCTCTTTCGTTCGCAATTTTTTCCGGTCGCACTCACAGACACAGATGCAGATACATGTTGGGTGAGCTACTTGTGACGTTTGTTTTTGTTTCTATGCTTTGTGCTGCCTTTTCGCATGCTTTGGCCGCTGCCGCCGCAGCCGCAGCCGCCACCGCCGCCGCAGTCAGCCGCTTGTGCCGTTTGTTTATGTATCTACAATGAGCGCGTATTCGTGTATCTGTATCTGTTGATGTGTTTGTGTATCTCAGCAACAATTGCACTCGCACTCTAACTCCGGGCAGCCTGCCAGTTCCTGTCCCAGTTGCCAACCAAATCGCACTCTCACTGCGCCGTCGCGCGCTCTCTTCGAGTGCAACTCAAATTGGCAAACAAAAAACTCACTCGAGTTTTTTACGTAAGCACAAATAGACAAATAAAAAGATATTGTATCTGCTTGCACTGAGTAACCAACCGCCCGCAGGTAGCTGCATTCAGCTCACTTTATATAATGTTTACCTGTTGTCTGTCCGTCTGTTGGCTGACTTTAACGGCTCGTTCTGTGCCTTTGTTGTTAGCCCGGCTCAAATCAGGCTCTGACCAGGCAGCGCAGCTTGCCGCGGAACTTACAAAAGGCCGTGTTGAAGCATTCGCCGATCGCGTTGTTCACTTTGATTTAAGAGCAATTAGCTTTGACTTAAGAGAAATATTTTTCTTGTTTATGACGCGCCGGTCGCTGACGATAATGACGATGTTGTTGTTGATGATGATGATCATGATGATGAAGGTGATAATTAAGCCAACGCAAAGGCAAATGCGAGTGCGGACGCTGACGTCTGGCTAGCATTGATGACGAAACAAATGCCGCCGTCCCATCCGCTGGTTTCAAAGTTTATTGTTTTTGATTTTTTTTTTTTTTTTTGCTGGCTTACCTTTGAGCTGAGCTCATGCTGGGATTTTAACACTGAGCGAGGGGATTTTTAGAGCTTTACGTCTTAATGCCAACCGATTTATGCAGTATTTATGACACATTTAATGCCAGCTGATGGAATAGTAGACCAAACGATGTTTCGCTTGGATAATATACTTCAGAATGAGATTATGTCTGCATGTTATGCTAGTTTTTCATCATCTAGCTCAGGTTGAGCCCACTTTCGAGTCAATCAGACTACGTTTATTAATTATACATTTTAATATTATGACTATATATACTCACGTAAAAAAAGATACTTTTGTTAAGTTAATTTAAAGTGAAATTTTCACGTTTGCCGCTAGACTTTATCGTTTTCCTCTGCTATCTTTGCATTAAAAATATGTATAATCCTTTTAAATAAATAGCCACAATAGATTATGCCTATTTATATGGTGCCCAATATAAATATTAGATTAGTTTTGGCTTATCAGCGGCCTAATTCCAATTGTTTTGTTCAGATTTTGGACTATGGAACTTTTGTTGACAAGCTGCCCACAAAATCCAATTTGAGCTTCAAGTCTGACAATATCCAACCCCATATCAAGTTGCTAGTGAAAGTGAAAACTTGTTGCTCCAGTTTTATTTAGCTTGTAAACCTAGACCCTAAGCCCAAAAATTGCCACTATTGTTGTATGTGGTTGAGCATAGCTCAGAATTTGACAATGTGGCTGTCGACTGCGATAGACAAAGAAAACAAAATTATTGGACGAGGGTCGTATGTACTTGTATGTGCATGTTCTATGTTGTGTGTGTGTGTGTGTGCGCGCGTGTGTGTGGGTTCGCATTGCTGATATGCTGCTGCTGTGGCTGCCGATAATAGGCTACATTTGCGGCGAGATAGCGCTTATCAGCCCTAACGGCTATTCACACGAGTACGACGAGACGCGACGCGGCGCTGACTTATGCTTTGGATACGGACGGCTAAAGCCGCACAGAACACGCCCAGTTAGTAAATAAACGAATGCAGTCTGGGAATACCGCTGGTCATATGTGAGTGTGTGTGTGTCTAAGTGTGTCTGCTGATAGCGCCATTCGCGATAAGTTTTCAACAACAAAACATTTGCGGCCGTGGGCTCGCTTAGGACAAGGCCAAGCGGTCAAATGTTGTAGGCCACAGTAAAAAAAATATTTTAAATAAATAGGAAAAAATATACGGCTACGCGTCAAAGCAATTATGTAGCGTAAACAAACAATTGAATGCTTCAGCAATTGTTGCTTTTGCTTATGTATCCATCAGATACGATGATAAATTGCAGTGGCGCATGCGCAAACTTTGTCAATTATCACACTCCAAAAATATGTATGTATGTGTTAACACAACAGTATGACGCCCATCGTCATGATGATGTAGATCATCATCATCATCGGAAAGACGCGTGTCAATTCCCAATTTCGTAGCTGTCCGCGATCTGTGCGAGCCTTCTTGAAATGCGCTAAACGTGTGCCGAACACATGAGCTGCATGCATAATCGTACCACAAATGAGATATGATTATGTATGAGTGTGCTCGTAAATACTTTTTAGGGGCAACACTTTGCATATTGATTGCATCTCACTTGCGTTTTGGCCAGCAGCAAATGTGAATTGAGTATTGCCTGACAATTGCGAAATATGATATCAAATTCAATTAGTTAATGAGCACAACACAAATTAGGTCGACAGAAATTTCAAGGAATCGTGACGATTTGAAGCAGTGAAGAATATTCAAAATAGAATACATTATTTGATTATGTCTCTCAAATATGTATCTTCTATTGGTATTTGGTGACATCACAATCTAATGCGAGTTTTCAAGTAGAGGAGGAGGAGGTAGAGACCATATAAAACTATTTTTCTACATTCATTCAAGATCATTGTATCCCCA